ATGAATCCACCCCAATACTTACTCGCGGGAGGCGAAACGGAGAGTGAGTGGGATAGAAGAAGGGGGGGGGGGGAGACCGTAACAGAAGGCGCCTCCAGCTGCAGTATACATACATAGAACTGGACCGGGCCCTGGCTTTTTTCCACGTGCATATTTTCCTGCATTAACTTTTTGCGACTTTTCCTGTTGAAGTAGTTCGACCGTATTCAGCCCGCTGCCTGATTGCGAGTTGGCGCTGACTCATGGTGATATAGTCTGTCGTCCGGGTGGAGTTTAGATTTGAGGTGTTGGTGGCGTAGAGAGAGAGAGAGGGAGAGAAAGAGAGAGAGGGGGGGGGGGGAGAGAGAGAGACTCGTTGCCGCGCCGATATCCGATCAGGGGCGTCTGAAGGGGCCGGCGGGTGGCCACGCTCGCCCCTCTCCGGGTGATGGAGCAGAGTGGAGTGGACGCGTCGTATCACCGTATTTCGTGGTGTTCTTTCGTTGCGCTCCACCGCCCCCTGCTGCTGCCGCACCGCCGCTGCAAGAGATAACGACCGCCCCTTTCACCCATACCCTCTCTCTTTTTCTTTCTCTAACCCGATTATAAACTGAACAAAATTCTCTCTCTTCCTCCCTCTCTTTCTCCCTATGCCCCCCCCCCTCCCCTCCTCCCTCCCAGCTCACGGCTACGCTCGACTGCCTCTGAATGTCGCTGGCCCCGGATCACTTTGCGACCAATTTCCTGACGTGGAGCGAGTCGCGACAGACAGACAGACAGACAGACAGACAGACAGACAGACAGACAGACAGACAGACAGACAGACAGACATTCGGTGCAGGGGACCAACCCCAACCCTTTCGCCGCTCCCCAGTGCATCTCCCCTCCGCGTCGCTCCCTCCTCCTATGGCAGCAATCTCCATACGCTTTTTCCATCACTTGACAATTTTAAATCCACTTTTGTGAATAAACGAGGCAACCATGACGCGGACCTTTTTCCGAAAACGGAGGGAGAAAAAGAGTCATCTGCCCAGTGTGGGGGAGTGGGACGGGGGG